AGAAGAAGATGTAGAGGAAGGATGAAGCTAAGAAGAAGAGAAGAAGATGCAGAGGTAGAGATGCGTTAATGGCGGGAAGGTGTTTGGGTTTGTTTGCAATAATTTCAGGTTTGTGGGAATATAGTATAATTTTGAAAAGATTACATAATACTTCATCAATCCTAATTAAGCACTAATTACCCTTAATCAATAATATGGCTATTTAGTTAATACTTTAAAACTTGATAGCCTTTTAATTAAATGCAAACTTGAAATGGCCTTTTAATAAACTGCCCCGTAGAGTCTTGCCTACCCGTCATAGTAACAATTGATAAACGTTACCCAAAATCAGAAATTAGAATGGATTACCTACGGTCAACTATTAGAACTTAGCCATATTGTCTTGACTCTTGATAAAATCTTATTTTATTTAACTATAATAAAATTATATCCTTGATTAAAGAATAAAGATAGTTGACAAATACTTCTCACAAACGCTGTCATGATAGCTCGTAATTAGTCAATTCATATTTGGTCAAACTGGACTCATTGTTGCACAGATGGAATCTATTGCGAGCTGACCAATTACAAACTGACACGTTGCGTTTGTGAAGTATAATATTACTGTTAATTAAATCAATTACTTTCTAAATAGGCTTATAAAACTATTTCATGACTACTAGTTTAAAATTATATTTTTTAGTTTCAAAGTTGCCCACGTTTTTCGGATCTAAATTTGTTTATTATTTTCAAATAACATTATAAAAATGTACATAAAAACTTTTAACTATTTAAGAAAGGGTAAGAGTTTTTGGCTAACCAAATTTTTAACCTAATTGATGACTTGATAATTATTAAATTCAAAACAATGTGATAATGGCTGTAAACGATAAGTGACTTTACCCAATATCATAAACCCACTGTTATTTAAACGTTATAACATTTAATTCAAAACAATGTGATAATAACTGTAAACCCCCTGAGATTTTGTTACTGTTACAGCGCAGCTAGGGGTGCATACGAGCCAAGCAGAGCCGAGTAGTGGCTGGCTCGAGCTCGACTCGAATGTATTTGTAGGAGGCTCGAGCTCGAGCTCGGCTTGTTTAAGGAAATGAATGGCTCGAGCTCGAGCTCAACTCATTTAAGAAAAGTTGGGAATTTCTCTTATGCAATACACCTAAACACGTTCATTCTCTACAACTTCTCCCTTTGGTTCTTGAGGAAATATAAAGAAAACTGAAAAAAATTTCCAAACTTTCTCTATTTTTTCCTTCTACTTTCTCGGTAAACAAAAAACACCTTAATTGAGAAAATCACTGACCAATTCGATTCTTGAAACTTCAAAAACTTTCCATGACCAGTTTTACTGCCATTACGGTGAGATCCTCTCGGATTCCGTCGATTCTTTGAACTCGAGAAACGTTTCAGCTTCACCGGCGGTATGGTTGGAGCCACAATCTCGTAGTTAGGACAACTCGTCGGCGGCGACACAAGCCGTAGGTGATGATCGTCAGCGTAATCCTCTTCATCATCCTCAGAATCGAACCCAGAAACAAGAATCCCGTCGAGTCCATGCACCGCTAGACCTGTCCCGACAAAAAGATCTGAAACTGAAAGCCTCACTCCGTCAACCGTAATAGAATGATGGCTTAGGGGAAAAGTGTGTAGCCGTGGGCTTTGGGGAAAAGCATGTAGCTCGAGTTTCTCGCGAGCAGTTCGAATCAAGTCGAAAAACTCGACATTTTTCACGAGCTTGAAGATGAGCTCGAACTCGTGAACTACTCGATCTCCGACAAGTCGAGCCTGAGTTCGTCACAAGTCAAGCCCGAGTAGCTCACGAGCTACTCGGTTTGACTGCACCCCTAAGCGCAGCCACCGTAGTTGGAGAGATTCTCAATCGATGATCTTTGTGAGAGAGCTTTGTGATAATGCTACTTGGCGTTGGGCATATATATTTATGCATTAATGGTGGAGTGCTATTTTCATAATATTTGTCGCTCAAGTGAAAAACTCGCCAAAGTTAAAGATTTGTTTAGGATTTTGACTAAAACAATGAATTGAAATCCTAAAACATACTACTAAAATGTGAATTATAAAATAAGAAATCAAAATAGTAATTTTTGTAACTACATCTCTATTAAGTTATAACCTTCTTATAGTAATAAATTAGTTTGATTTCATCATTATGACTATAAAGAGTTTTACTGTATATTCTTTTTTTCATCCGTTTTATATACTTTATGTCGAACCATCTTAAATATTGTGTCTTTTGTGTGATTAGTGATTTATTTCACATATTATTAATCTTTTTATTTGATACACTTCTACGAATTCACAACGGTTGGTATTGCGTCTTTTGTATAATTAGTGATTTATTTCACATATTATTAATCTTCATATTTGATATATTTATCGAATTCACAACCGTTACCTTACCAACATTCTCTAGCTCTTTGGACGGGAGAAATGCAAAATTGGGCATTCACCTACTTGGAAATTGATAAACTTTACATTTTGCCCGACCTTTGTTTTTTTTTTTTTTTTATGATCGGAGTGTCTGAATTAGTTTACGTACACCTCAACTAATCTCTAGATCTATTGAACACTCTACAAATCCAATATTCTAAGATAAACTATAAGGTGGTTCAAACTCAGAAGAAGGGAGCAAACCGTTTTGACCACCAAACCAATCCCTTAAAGTTAAAGTGATTAACTTTGACATTTTGAGTTTGAGCATGTGGGTTGTCTCAGTCTCTCAGATTGTTTATTGAACAAAATAAAAAATTTCCATATTTTCATTATAAACATGTACTCGTAATTAGGGGTTATTACTAAGTTTAAGCAGGTACAGCCCTCGTAACATTATAAATTCACTTCTATCAATGTAAATACCTTCTCTCCAATTTCAATTAATGATAAATCTTAATAAATCCGTTCGTATTTGCATCATAAAATTTTTAACGCAAGTTTTAATGTTACTTTTTAAAATATCGTTATCGGTAAATGAAATGAAATCAGTTAGAATTAAGAAATTTCCCGGGAAAAAACAAACAGATTCTCAAAATCTATGTCGCTGTGCCTGGCTAAGAGTTCGCCACAACTCTCAAACCTACACCAGTCACATAAAACATCGCTCCTAAGAACAAATCTTTACTCTCGCCATTTGCAAAATTTGAATCCATTTAAACATTCTCTAGCGCTTTAGGCTTCTTTAAACTTCACAATGTCTTGTTCGTTCGCTGTATCACCTTCACTTAGAAGAGAATTCGTAAATCCAGTATCTCATAGGTTCTTTGCACCTGCGAGAATATATCAGCCCAGTAAGCTATAAACTCTTCTTTTTATGTTCCATGGTTGCATTAAGTTATAAAGTGCTTTGTTGACTTGTGTGTGTCTGTCTGTATTGTACATGAAGGAAGCAAATGCGAAATAAGCAGGAGGGGTTTTGCCTTTAAAGGAATTGTAGCTTCTGGGGTTTCGATCATAGGATCTTCTTTGGTTACCGAACCCGGTCAAGGTCAATTTTGTTATCTTCGTTGAAACGACTTGATTGATTTGTGTTTCTTTCTTTTTTTTCTTTTTTTCTTTTTTTCTTTGGGAGTTGAGTTGAGTTTTTCTTTTTTTTTTTTAAATTAATTTTTTTTTATTTATCTTTTTAGGGTTGGAGAGATTACCATACAAGCCAGAGGGTTACAATTATTGGACATGGAAGGGTCACAAAATACATTACGTGGTTCAAGGAGAAGGATTTCCAATTGTTCTTATTCATGGATTTGGTGCTTCTGCATTTCATTGGAGGTTTGCTCTCTTGGACCACTTTTCAAATTGATACTACTTCATTCTAAAGGCTTTAGACTAGATAATTGTCCGCTTGCTGCAAAATTCATGAAACTAGGAGATTACGCAACTGCAGCATGTGAATTATTGTAGTTTTGGGTTGACGATCTAAGTTAACCTATTGTTATGGCTGAACATGAAACAATTGAAACCTGAAGTAGTAAACAGCCTCTAATATCATGTGGGAGATGGTTTTTTTTTT